CCCAAAAATAAAAAAGTACACATTTCATGGTGAAAATAAACCTGAATGTCAGATTCTATCAGTTAATTATGAAATCAATGAGATTGGAAGGAACTTTCCAACAAGGTGATGAGAGAAATTATGGTAAGTGTATCCAAAAGATCAAATGAGCCAACCACATTACTGTACTGAACAAAGCAACCTAATTGAACATTTTTTTTTGTTGTGAATGTACTAAAGTCAGTCAGTACTACAGGTCATTAATAGATGAAGTTAAGCTTTATATTACTTACATAATGGGTATTAAATCAATACTGAATACTTAAATATGTTTCTTTACTTTAGGTTATTTACATTAGTTGATGGAATGAAAATGATAATGACTTAAAATGAAATGTTCTCCAATTTAGGAGAAATATAAATAATATGAAATAAAATGAAAAAAAAAATAGTATGACATGGAACCAGTTGTTCTATTTTCCTTAATTGTCATGTATTCTGCCATGTTCTTTATCTGCTTAGTGAATTTACAACTAGCACAGCAGGTTGTGAATTTTTAATAGGATCTTTTCAAGGAAGGAAAAGGTCAGTATTAACATAAAAATCTTCTTTAAGAATTGTGGTGCAAAGGTTTCTTAGCAGAGAGCAGGTTTGCTGCAAAACTAAAATGTACCAGAACAGTCAAGTTAAAAGATTCTTGGAGATAAGTTAGGAAACAAATGCCTCAGTATGACACCATGACTTCCAGTCAATGGTGACTAAAAATTACTTTGTTTTGTTGATATTAAACATGTTTGTTGCATGCAGAATGATTTAATATATAATAATTATTTAAAAAAAAAAATACACCAAACTTTTCATTACTTCTAAATAAAATGCTCTCATTTTTCTTCCTTTTCAGCTTCATTCTGACCAGGACAAGGGAGATGGATCCCTCAAATACATTTTGTCAGGAGATGGGGCTGGTACTCTTTTTATAATTGATGAGAAAACAGGTGACATTCATGCTACTCGGAGAATTGACAGGGAAGAAAAAGCCTTTTACACTCTGCGTGCCCAGGCTATTAATAGAAGAACTCTGAGACCAGTGGAACCTGAATCTGAGTTTGTCATCAAAATCCATGACATCAATGACAATGAACCAACATTTCCGGAAGAAATTTACACTGCTAGTGTTCCTGAAATGTCAGTAGTAGGTGAGTACTTTGCACTGAGGCACAAATGCCTGCTCTATATTGCTTGATAAATAATTTCCCCATCCTCTGAAAAGTCAGTCATGTTCCGAATTCTACCTCATGGGCTAAGGATTTTTCAGTTTGTTTTTTTTCTTCAAATATTGGAATTGCAATCAGAAACAGATTTTTTATTACTTAAGATCTATTTCTACTTAGAATATTCAAATTATTAATTTACAGTGATTTGGAATATAAATAGAAAGTGGTTAATGGTGAATCACCCTCCTCCTTAAGAACTGTTAGAATAAGGTCACTAGATTAACCTGTTGAAAGCTTAATGAATTTTTACTTTCATTTTCACTGGAGATCCCCAGTGGTGATAAGCACTGAATGGAGACCTGTCTCTACTTTCACTCTTTCTGTGGTTGAGGAGAGTTATACGTTTACCCATGTGTTGTTGATGCACTGCCTGAAGGCAGACATCTTTATTCTCTTTGCTTTCAGTTTTTTAGTGTATGGACAAATCCTCTTGTGCTTTCAGTTCCTCCCTTGACTCACTTATGAATGGCAGCTTCAAGAATCTTAAGCAGCTGTTTGAGTTAATCTTTCTTCTGTTTGCAATGTATTTTCAGTTCCTATCTTAACTACAAAGTTGTAGCCTGGATCATGCCAGCTGGTCAGTTTCATAAACAATAGCATTTTGGAATATGAGCTATTATTAATTAGTGCATACAATTCTTTGGGAAGAATTTTGAAAAGCTTAAAAATATATAGAGTCTCTTTTTAAAAATTAATATTCACTTATTCATTGTATAACTGTAGATATAATACTAATATCTAAATATTCAGAAAACACACAATAACTTCAATACCTCTTTTGGCTATTATTACTGTTTTAATTACTACCACTGCCTGAACTAGATCAAATAGTGTTCTAAGATGTTTTATATATGCAGGTATTGAAGTTTTAGTACTTTCCTGGGCTTTGGAAAATGTTAAAAGAGAAAGAAAATATATAATTATTGAAAGAGAATGGCCTCAGCAAGGCTGTGCAGCAATGTGTGGAAGCATAATACTAATAATTTTCTGTTCTTAACAAGGTATTTCAATCTGCTTTTAGTTTGTGATTGAATCATTTTTAAAAGTCCCAATATTCAGCTAGTAGTTTTTAGTATAAAGGAAAATAAAAAAAGAAAGAGGAAGAAATCTGTCAGATGATTGCATAAGGCTGTACTGGAATCCCATCAAACTAGTCCATATAAAGACGAGAACTGAAGTCGTCTTTCTTTATGGTTCCAAAATAGAACAAAACGTAATACTGAATTATTAGTTTACTGATCCGTTCTCTAGAATAATGAATTTCAGTAAATGTATATAGCCTTAGGCAGAGCATCTTGAAAGAGCATTTCTGCATTTTGTAGAGAGACATACAGCAAGATTACAGTAGGGTTGAAAAAAGATGTCTTAGAGCTTCCACTTTATTTCTCATGTTCTTTCTATAAATTCCAGAAGGCATTGCTTAAAGTATTCTTGGAAAGTTTTTATGAAAATCATTCAGTGTTTTTGTTAAATATTATGCTGTTATGTAACATTCCGTTATAATCTATTGATTCCTAATTTGGTCAGTCTCAATTACATAAAGATCATCTTTTTCTTAAACATCCAAGACATTATTTCAATAATTCTAAAATATTCAGGATGTGAGGTTCCGGTGTATCTGTACGTCCACATAGATCACACAAATTTTGAAAGTGCAAATTTTGCCGCACTGCAACAAAATAAAAACATAATAAGAAAAAGAGATAAGATGATAAGAAAAATATCCAAAAAACTACACTGATGGGTAAAAAAAACAAAAAAGCTTGGATGCATTTAGAGTATTAACCCTGTATCTTGCACAAATAGTTGTGCTGAAACAAATAGACTTTATTCTGTCAATAAAATGGCCATAATTTAGAGAATTTTTACTAGGTTAAAATCTATCATGTTCCTGGATTTTACAAATGTGGTCATTCAGCTGCTAGACTACTGACTGGTAGGTAGATAGGTAGAATTTACTTTTAGCTTTATGGCTTTTAGCTTTATGGCTGATCCCTAGAGGCATATGTTCATCTGCAGTCCATGAGTGGATGACGTGATTTTACAAGGTATTGCTCAAAGTTGATTCATTTCTTCATAACACTAATTTAATTTTCCAACTTCAATAAATCTACTCTGCAATCTCAAAACTAAAGGCTGAATGGAGAAGGGGAGAAATGTTCTAAAAGAAAAAACTGCATCAAACCTTTGAGGCAAATAGAATTAATTAGAAATTTTAAAGTCAGCATGTTAAAACATTTTCATATGTTTCTATAATAATTAAATATAATATCACATAATTAATTACAAAATAAATCTGTGTCTTTTTTTCCAGACATCCTACCATTCAAGAATTTTTTTGTACAGAAATGTAAATGAGAAATTTGTGAAAAAAAGAAACATAAAACATTATTTTTGTTATGACAATAGCACCACCCCATCAAAAGGGAAATAGGAAGAATTTCCTGCATGGCTCTATTTTGCACTCTCCAGATTTTTTTTTTTTTTTGAGTTATAGTATTGCGAGTAGCCTATTACTTGTCCAGTACAGTCGGCCATGGGCTAAGAAAGTGTCAGACTTGTTGATGTAAGGAATGCAGAGAGAAATTGCAGTCTTGAATGTAATTGTACTGTTTCATTGAATCTGTCTCCTTCTGTGGTACTCACCTCTGTGACCATATAGGAACATTTAACCTTTCTACAAGTGTCTGAAAATATTAAGCGGAGTTTAGGATATGAATATTGTCTCAGTCATAGATACCAGAAAGAGAAATTACAAAGCCAAATTACTGTGACTCTTACCTGGACAAGTAGATAGGAGTTATATTGTTCTGTAAAAAGTACCATGGTATCAGGACTGTAATATTTTCACTATCTAGTGCAGCATAGTTGACACAGTATGGCCTTGCACTGTATTGGGAGTATGAGAGAGTGATAGATTACTGGAACTGCACCTTACCTTCCCTGGGACAGGACCCACAGGCAGACAGGACACATGATACAGAGGATTCCCTATCCTCTCTCCACCCCACAGAATGCGATGACTTAAGGGTTAGGGGGGAATGGTGACAAGTTTTTGCCTGGTGCAGCAGGCGTGTCTCCTCCCTGACTACCCCACCTTCCCAGGTGCCCTTGCATAATAGGTATGAGGCTCTGCAAGTGGAACCAAACAATGATGAGGATAATGGTTCATCTAGGTTGGAGGTGTCGCCGAGGTTAAGTCGGCCTACACCCTGCAGCAAAACTGCTTTCATAAAGAAAAAAAGATGGGTCATTGTCATAGGAGACTCTCTCCTGAGGGGAACAGAAGGCCCAATATGCAGACCAGACCCACTTCTTAGGGAAGTCTGCTGCCTCCCTGGGGCCTGGGTTAAAGATGTGAAGAGAAAACTTCCTATCCCAGTACGGCCCTCGGATTATTATCCATTATTGCTTTTTCATGTAGGCAGTGATGAAGTTGCAACAAGAAGTCTGAGGGCAATCAAGAGAGACTTCAGGGCCTTGGGACAACTGGTTAAGGTGTAAGGAGCACAAGTACTGTTCTCCTCTATCTGTCCAGTTGCAGAGAATGATGAGGGAAGAAACAGGGAGAAGCAGCAGATCAATACCTGGCTCCGAGACTGGTGTCACCAGCAGAATTTTGGTGTTTTTTGATCACAGGTCAGTCTACACAACACCAGGCCTTCTGGCAACAGATGGGGTACACCTGTCTCAAAGGAGGAAAAGAATCTTTGCATAGGAGTTAGCAAGGCTCATTGAAAGAGCTTTAAACTAGTTTTAAAGGGGGAAAGGGATAAAACCAGGCTTGCTAGAGATAAGCCTGGGGGTGGCATGCCAAAGTTGGAGGGACGGTGTGCTAGCGAGGTCCTTCAGTCTGCTCCACGATGTGCTAAATACACTGGAGCGCATTTGAAATGTCTTTATACTAATGTGCGCAGCATGAGAAATAAACAAGAGGAGCTAGAAGCTTTGGCACATTCCCTGAGCTACGGCATCATTGGCATAAGTAAAACCTGGTGGGATGAGTCCTGTGACTGGTGTGCCATGATGGACAGTTATAGGCTCTCTATAGGAGGGATAGGCAGGGCAGGCGAGGTGAGTGGTGGCACTGTATGTAAGGGAGAGGTTGGATTGTATGGCACTTACAGTTAGTGACAACACATCTGAAAGCCTCTAGGTAAGGACAAAGGGGAAAGCAAATAAAGCAGATGTTGTCGTGGGAGTCTACTATTGACTACCCAGCCAGAAAAAGGACACTGGTGAATTATTCTACAAGGAATTAAGGGATATCTCTAGATCAACTGCCCTTGTCCTTATGGGTGATTTTAACTTCCCAGACATCAACTGGGAATATCACACAACAGACACAAACAGGTCCAGGAAATTTCTGAAGCACGTTAAAGATAATTTCTTGGTGCAGGTACTAAAGGGAGCCAACTAGGAAAGGTGCCCTTATAGAATTGTTGTTTGTAAACAGAGAGGGTCTTGTGGGTGAAGTGGTGATTGATGGCTGTCTTGGTCACAGTGACCACAAAGTAGTTGAGTTTCAGATCGTTGGAGGTAGGAGAAAAACTGCCAGCAAGACTTCGACCCTGGATACGGGGAGAGCAGACTTTGGGCAGCTGAAGGAGCTAGTCAGTAAGGTCCCCTGGGAATTTCCTTTTGAAAGTATTGGGGTCTATGAATGCTGGTCACTTTTTAAGAGCAATCTCTTAAGAATCATAGAATCATAGAATCATATAATAGTTTAGGTTGCAAAAGACCTTTAAGATCATCAAGTCCAACCATTAATCTAGCACTGCCAAGTCCACCACTAAACCATGTCCCTAAGCACCACGTCTACCCATCTTTTAAATACCTCCAGGGATGGGGACTCAACGACTTCCCTGGGGTGCCTGTTCCAATGCCTAACTACCCTTTCAGTGAAGAAGTTTTGCCTAATA